ATAAAGTGAATTACATATAGTTCATTCTATATAATCATGAACTTTGATTTACCTCCACAATTATCAAATTTTAAAATAAATAAATAAATAAATTAATTAATTAAATGTCTTTATATAATTTTTTAAAAGTTTTTCTATAAAAAACAATAGCTGTTAAGATATACTTTTCCGTTGCCCTCCCACCAGATTTGATAAGATTTTGTTCCAAATTTTGGACACAACCACAAAAAAATTAATTATTACCTCAATTGGTAGAAAAGCTAAGTTAAGATGACTACACATAGTTTTTTAATTTAACATGTTACTAGATCATAAAAGTAAATTACATAAATACATGTAGTTGTTAAAGGGCATCATTAATCTTCCATATAAAGGATAAAATTTTGTTTCTAATTGTTGTGGAAGATTCAAGAAAGTCTGTCTCCAACTTTTTACCACTTAAATAGAGTTGGTTCACAGAATTAAAGGTTAGTACTCAGCATTCTGCATACAACGACACCTCCTCCATTTAATACATAGTCCAAAATTCTTACCTTAAACATGAACCCCAATTTAAAGCCATGAACAACCAAGGTGTCCAAACTTGGATATAGGAAAAAGACTATTGAGTACCATGCACTTGCCTCAGTCGTTTTGGAACATTTGTGCTTTCACTCTCTGAAATGAGATGGTTTTATGATTATGGCAAATCATGCATTTGCAAAATATTACATTAGTACTTTATAATTATTATATTTATAAATTTTTTTTTTACAATTTAAATGATTTAAGTTGCAAAATATTAATTATTAATTTTTAAATAATTTATATTTTATAGTATAATTTAGTTAATTTTTTTTTTTAAATAATCAACTTAGTTGAGTTTAAATTATAAAATATTTAAAAATTTTATATAATTATTTGAATATATAAAAAAAATTAAAAATTAAAATATTATAACATTTTAAAATTCTAAATTTTTTATATAATTATTTGAATATATAAAAAAAGTTAAAAATTAAAATATTATAACATTTTAAAATGTCAATATTTTTATAAAATTATTTAAATA